TTATAAAATTTATTAGTAATTTTTTAACATTACTTCAGAAGAAAAATTTGATCGTATATTCAGACATGACGAATAACTTTGATTCTAATCAATAGTCTTTCAGTAGTCGAAAAATGGGTGAATATTTTGTGTCAAGATTTTTGTGCTTTAAACCACATTAAAGTTCAGTTAAACTTACGGAAGTTTTTGAAATATTAGATACAGTCGTAGTTGTAGCCATGATTGTGAATCATGATGATCTTCACATCCTATCGTTTTAGTGAATTGATAAAACTCTGTTAGATTGACTTGTAAATATATACGGGCAAGATGGTTCTGCCAGGACCAGGACCAACACTTTTTCATTGGTTGTGTTATGTTTTATGATCGCGTAAGACTTTCATCAAATGTCGTATTTGCATGAGTTATGAATTATAAAAGTTTATGTAAAAATCATTGAGTAATGATCACTTCAATATTTGCTGTTACATTTTTCATAATAAAATTAGTCCTTTTTTGTAAACAATTGAATTGTCGAACACATAAACGAAGTATTAGTTTACTTAACAAAGTAACGAATCTCGAAGCAGGATGATATTAGAGATCATGCAAAATATCTCAAGCGCATAGATAATGTTAAAAAATGATACCTAATTTTTTACTAGTACATGTATAAGTAAGCGCGAAATTATGCTGAAAAAAATATTCCGACGGAGATTAAAAACGATTGGTTCTGCTCATTACTATTCATAACAACTGTAAGAAATGACTGATTTTATTCGACTCTATGAATGTGAACAAGAGTTAATGGTAATGTTTTTTTTATTGTTATCAGGATTTAACAACAAATGCAAATGATTTTCGTCATCAATCAGGTGCTTATGAACTTGTTTTAATTGTTGGTGATGCTTTACTTCAAAAAGCATTTTCATGGAAATTAAATGATAATATGCAATTATCATTTCATGAAGATAGTGTTCCAGATACAGATCATCTTAGTTTATATTCTGCAAAACCGGAAATTATTCATCAATTTCGTGTTGATGAAAAACGACCACCAGCAGTTGTTTCACTTGTTTTTAGTGGATTAACTTTATTACCATTATTAATTCTATTGATTTCAGTAAGGCGAAATCTTTTCTTTTTTTTTTTTTTTTTGTCTTTAAATGTTTCAACTTTTTTTATCTTTTTAATAGTGGCTCAAACTTGGTTTTAATCTTTCTGGTTTACCATTAGGACTTAGTCCATTAGGTTTTCATATTTCTCACGGAGGTAAATGGAAAATAAGCAACAAAAAAGAATGATAATCATGTTTTTTTTTTGTTTTTAAATCTTTAGCTGCGTTTGCTTTGATGTATTTCTATTGGAAATATTTGGATATGTTTCAAACATTGCGCTATTTGGCTTTAGTTTCAATTTCATTATTTTTATTTGGTCATCGAGTATTAGCCATATTAGCTGCTCGACGGTAAGTTAAACAAAATATTTGTTTTTCTTAATTAAATTTATTGACTTTTGTTTCTTTTTTAGAGAAAAAAAAGCTTGATCGATTAGTTTTCACGGATATTAAGGAAAAAGACATTGAACAATTTGTTTTGTTTTTGTTATTGTTTTTCATTTCTTTACTATTATGTGCGCTTGTCTAGGTTATATTCATTATTTCTATATTATGTCTCTTCTTTCCAAGTTATGCTAAATTCCGAAGACTCTTCTCTTTACTGTAGCCTAGGTTATTTGATTGATACACATTGCTGGTGATTACAGTTTGTGTTGAAATTTTTTGGTTTATTGACTTTTTATTAAATGTTACGTTTTTTTTTTCTTTTCTGGGATTTCCATAAAACAAAAAGGTACGATATTTTCATTATTTACTGAAAAACAATTTTTGTCTAGAGAAATATCATAAGAAGAAAAGTAAACTGTATAACGAAATCAACGTTAAATATAAGTTTTGCTCAAATACTTTCTATGATATATCGCTTATGTCATCTAATACATTCAAATAAATCTGATAAAACATTACCTAAATGATATCTATTAGAAAAAGTAAAACCGGATTTATGCTAACAAATAAAATGAAAAACAATATACCTTACAGATAAATATATGTATATATGTTCTAATGCACACGACTCTTTTTGTCAATACGATGAGCAATTTTCTACTTGCATTGCAAGTTTATTTTATTTTTAAATCCAACTGATTCAAACTATGGTATTATGATATCAATACAACAAATAGTTTTTTCTTCTTTGTTTAACAAAAAACAAATCTTTCTATTGATAAATTATTAATTTTTCTGAAAACTCAAAATCTAATTATGAATCAGAACATGGATGCGATAATACTGTTACATCAGTTTTTAACAGTACACTAGAATAATCAAATGACATTTCATTCATATCAGATATTACTCGAAACAATCAATAAAAATTCCAAATACTATTTGCTCAGTTTCTCACTAAGAAACTCACCTAATTGCATTATTTGTCAAACTATTTCATCTTTTTTTCAAACCTTATATGTACAGAACGATTATCCTGACAATAAATATTTCATTGCTCATTATATTCACCTCATCTGTTTATATTGTAGAGCATGTTTTTAATGGAGAAAAGAAAAGATTGATTTTTCTTACAAACAAAACTTAATCTGACCGGGAACTTTTTCACTTTACGTATCTTCTATGAGTATAATGAGATAAAAGTACATATGTAAGTTTCACATTTCAGTCCTAAAAGGGCTGCACTATCGAATTTTATCATTAATTAATTAGAAAACATGTCTTGGTTCTACGTTAATAGTTCTTCGTACTACTACTACTACTACTACTACAGATCAGACAAGTTCGGTCAATGGCGAATACATTGGTGCACGAGGAAGAACGATATTTGCGACAAAAATAAAAGAAATAGCCGCAGTTCATATAAACTTGTATTCAGGAATACAACGTCTCTAAACTCACTGTTATAGAAAATCAGGTCATCGTTGTCATTTTGACTTAGAGTATGCTGGGTTGGACTCAGATCCGATGGAGTCTGGGTATGAAATATTTCTCTTAATTGGACCCGATCGGACAAATCATACTTTAAAAGAAACACCTAATAATACTTGATTATTATAAGATTATCATCGAAATTGTTTGACAAATATTTATAATATGCTAGTATTTGAGTTCGGAATAACTATCATATGCTGACGAAAAGAAATTATTTTCATCAAGTCTTATTTTATTAATCCCAGGTAAGTGTACTTAATATATGTGCATCATAGCCTAGTGTCTTCTCCTGATCAGATTATTTTTATCACATAGTTAACGTTTTATTCGAATGGACGAATAAGAGAGAGTGAATGGTTTCCAGAATTTTTGGTAAAATAACAAAAAAAAAAAACAACGATCGCTTCTGTCAAAAAATATCGGAAATCCAAAAAAATCAAAGGTTAGTATGTGCTCAAATATCCTTTAATTTTTTTGTCTTTAGTTTTGATTTTCTTGATTCTTCATTTGAGAGAACGTTTTTCTAACTTTCAGCCATCATGATAACAGATGAGTTGCTGTCTGGCACCACGTTTTTTATTTCAAGTGTGCATTTAGACTACACAATATTAATTTAATTCACCTGTGCCTACATAGTAGATGTCGGATGCTATATTTTTACATCTGTTTAATATGATATAACCTTGAATATGAAGTGCAATAAAAAAAAAAAAAAACCTAAACGTCACTGCTAAGAAAAAAAGGCAGAATGATGTTAGTCCTATAAAGAACCGTCTTGGATTAGTTGACTTATTCGGAACTGAGAGAATGTGAGTGTCGGTATTGGTCTTCCTTTCAATCGCATTCACATGCTCATCCCAATTTCTAGATACTGTGTTTTGCAGTACTGCACCACAAATAAAATTTGAGAAAGTTTCGGGATTTATTACATCTTCTATGGTTGACACTATTGAAGACATGGAGATTCATCATTAGTGAAACACACTGATAAATCATTGAAAAATCGTATTTTTTTCCTATCAAAGAAAGAATGATTGAAGATGTTAAATAGCCCGTAAAAAGCTCTACAAAATTGTAAATAAGAAAATTTTTCATAAGCATGTTCAACTAATGCCAACGACTACAATAATTAGTAACTAATATACTCAATTCTGAATAGGCTAATTAATCCAACCGAATCTTTAATGACAATAATATCATTTTGTCTTTTTCTCCTGTCATTTTTTTCTTAGCATTGAAGTTTTGTTTTTGTTTTTATTACATTTTATATTCTCGGCTTAAATCGTATTAAATAAGTGTATATATACTATTTTATCTCTATTATACAGGCATATAGTCGACTTAAATAAATGTTGTGTAGTTTAAAGATACGGTTCAACACATGAAAGTAGTACGAAACTTTTGATGTGCGTTACAGAACAAGCAAGATTGAAAATAACTTAAGAAACCAAAATTCAACAATCTATCATCGATCATTCATTTATCTAAACATCATAAAATAATGTATTGAAATATTGTATTGTGAAACAAGATGTTTAGATTTGTTCTAGTAAAGAGACAATGTTAATTAGTTTTAAATTATTAAGATAATAACTCAAAGTATCATTCAACTAGTGTTGATTTGTATTGCATCTATACATTTTTCTTAGTCTTCATAACAAGATTTTAAAGCTTATAGTTTTATTATTATTATTATTAAAAGATAAAGCAACATATGATTAAAAGTTGTCAGACAATTTAATGCCAAAAAATCAAGACTAATAAAAATAGTCTATGTAATGTAATATAATATTTTGCTTTGATTTAAATTGAAAATTTTAATATTTTTTCTTAAAAAAAAAAACCTTTAATTTAATGATTACAATAAAAAAAGAAAAATCACTCAACTATATAATATAAATTAAAATAAAATCTGGAGTAATTAAAATTGTCTGATTGAAAAGAACTTGAATAGTATAACTGTTTCTTTTTTTGTTATATATAAATGTCAATATTAAAAAAGCTAAAAAAATACTGAAATATTTTAGAATCTATCATCAATTATTTGGTGAATATTAATTGATGATTCATATCGTAGACAAAGTTTATCATCTGTTGAAATTGTTAAATTTAATGGAGACTCCTGTCGATTTTGAACACTCATAAAACGACATTCACCTTTAACTTGACCATTTTTATCAAGCATTATTAAATGACTTGTTATATATTCAATAAGAAAAAAAACATTTAATTTTTCACACCATTCCATTCTTGGTGTATATGATACATCATCGTTCCAACATTCATTAAGTAATAATTGTTTAACTATTGTCCAATTTTGTCCATCATTTGAAACATTATATGTACAAACTCGAACTTGTCGATGTAATTTTAAACGATAAGCTAACATTATTTGTCCATACATATTTACAGCTAGATCACTAATCTCTCCAACATGTGTTCCACCTAAGTCAGTTCTTCCATTTAATACAATATCACGAAATGTTTTACAAATGTTTTCTTCTTTATCATAATTCATCATAATAATTTCATCACCATTATGACTGGTAGGATCAGCTGCTACTATTAAATAGATATATCTATCATTACATGTAACACGTTTCATTTTACGATCTGGAAATTCATGAAATCCTTCAAGTTGATTTCTTTGATCATAAAGAACACGTAAACTTGAACGAGTAAGTAACAAATAACCTTTAAGTTTAGTTGAATATGCTATATCTTGTACCCATTTATCATCACCATCAATACTTCTATCTGAATCATTCCAATCAATAATTTGTCGTATTGTTGGTTGTGTTAAATCACGCACAAATGTTAAACGATAATTTTGAGTAATTTGATTATAATCATTATACAGTAATTGATTGTCATGACAACATACTGTACCAACAAAATTATCATGAGTTATAGATATTATTATTGGATTTTCACGTTGAATATTAACTGTTCGACCAGCATCAAAATCATCATGTTCTTGAGTTACCTTTGTTGAACTAGACAGAAGATCATTGTTCACTAATTCTCTTGGTGGTTCGACATATGTTGGTAGAGCAGCAATAGGTGATGGCTCAGTAGTTTTATCTAAAGACACAACAGGTGCAGCCATAGGTGATAGTTCAGTAGTTGTTGATGTAGTTCTATCTAAAGATGCAACAGGCACAGAAGTAACGGCTTCAATTACATGTATTGTTGAGTTTTGATTAAATATATTTGGATTTAATTTTGATTGAAGTTGTGTGTCTAAACTTCTGTCATCTTGAAGAAGTTCAGGTAAATTTTCTAATTGATCAAGTTTTTCTTGAATTTGTCGTTGTAATGAATGAATTGCATCTAATTGTTCATGAACAACACGACTTAAATGTTCAGATAATGCAGCATATTGAGTTCGAAATGATCCAACATCCAAACAAGCATTTTCTGTATGTTGAGTTTGATTTAAAGCATCGTCAGCTATGTCATTTATATCTTGAATACGTTTTTGTCTCTATTAATTAAAAAAATATAATAAAATAAAAAACATCTTTGAATTAAATATAGTGTTTAAAAAAAAAAGAAGTTTGTCGATTAAATTTATTCTTATAAAATAGCATCACTCACAGTTTACATCTGTTCGATTTTTCAAGTATTGATCTCATTCTGTCAAAATATATTATTTTCATAATGACGTTTATTCTGTTGTTTTTAAGAATGTTTCTTATCAAAATAACAATTCTATAAAATAACGAACATACGTTTTGGACATTATATTTGAACATTTATATATTATTATTCAAAAATAAACTTAAATTTGATTTAAGTAAAAGCTCTAATTTCAATATCTAGAATTCTACAGTAGGAATCTAATCGTAATAGTTCATGAAAATAGAATAATTCTTGTTTTTTTTTTAAACAATACTTACCCAATTTTCGATAATGATTTTCGTACTAGTGCAATCCTTATTTTCTGCTGCGTGCTCAACTTGCAGTAACCGTTCTCCAGTTTCACCATGAACAAATTCATATTCTGCACGAATTTGCATGGCATGTAAATTAATACATGCAAAATCGAATTTACCGCCACATGTACAAGTTAAATCGTATGGTTGAGCCAAACAAGCGATACAAAGCTCTTTAGATGAAGTTGAAGATTGTGACATACCTTTTATTGACGTTGATTCAGTTATAACTTATATGTATATATATGTTAAATTGTTACTTGTTAGTCTTTTATTTATATTTTATCGTGTTAAAATTGCAAGTAATACGACCAAACAGAAAAAAAAACAAATGCAAATGCTTCCGACAAGCAAAAATCGTGACCCTTGTTATTTTCTTCTGTCGTTCTATTTGTTAAAGAAAAGGAAGAAAAGGAATGTTGTGTCACGTTTCAAGAAAAATATTGAAGGTGAAACAAACTAAGTCAGATATTGTCGTTATTGTTGCTGTTGTCATACAGCAACCATATGAATGAAAAAAAAACAGCATAATTCTTCCGATATATATACATTCAAATTTAGAAAGGAAGAAAAAACTCTCTGACGGTAAAGCTATTGGCAAATATCCATTGAGATTTTTTTTGCAGCATTCTGTCAATAACAGAATTTATTTTTAAACATGTAAGAAAAAAACCAATGCAAAAAAAAAGAACGATTAGTCATAGTTTCTTTTTTTTTCAAACTATCATTAGGATTTTTACTTCAGATAATATTATGTCATAAACAAATAGATAAGAAATGAAAAAGATAAACTGAATAAAAATAATTTTTCATAACTGATGAAGTTCAGTGAATGGATTACTTTAGTATTCATTTGAAGACTATCATCTTGATGAGGAATGATTTTCAACTGTTGTTCTTCATTTAGAAGTAATATATTTCAATACGTTAGAGTTTTTTCATTCGACACCTCTATACACTTTCATTTCAATATGGTTTTATTGCCAAATAGTACTTAGATACAGTAGTTGAAAAAAATTGACCACAAATAAAACATGTTGAACTTTGATCACAAAGACTAAACAGAACTTGATCAACCTTCATACAGAGGAGCTAAAAGTTTAACATAGGTTTTTTTTTCAAACACGAATATCTCAATAGAGAAAATCATTCTTATGACGTCAGATGCCTCCTTCGACAACTCAGTGCTGTCTGTATCGCCAGTAAAAATGCCACAGTAAATGGCTTTAGTTTGATTGATTTATGAAGTAATCTCCGCCTGAGAGTTGGAGGGAATCGTCAAAAAGTGACCTATATCTCCAAGTAATTTCAATCATTTCCCTTGGAATTTTCTCCATTGAGTGTTGTACTCTAATCGAATATTTCTTGGAAGTTTCACGGTAGTAGCCATCGATAAAGAACAGATTCATGCTGAGATCGTTCTAGACAATGGAGGCTTCCATCCGCCTCAAGATTACAGTGCATTGTAAACAGTGAAAAACCCGAAAAATGTCAAAAAAGACTTTCTTTGGGATACTAAAGAAAAAGTGGGTATTTTCATCGTAAACCCTTTGCACTTAGACCTATCGACATCAGGTTGCTGCTTGCGATCAAGACTTATTGATCGCTATTTATAGTCAAAATATCAGGCAAAATAATTGAAGTTTATGTAGTTTTTATCTAGTAGCGAGATTTCTTGCCACTACTGTATATTCAGGATTGTGTAGAAGATTACAGACTTTAAACTTTCGCTCTCACATAAAGTATTCCTACAACAATTTTTGATACAGAATGCCTCGAAAGTTCGTTGGAAACATAATTACTCATAACTCCTATTAAATTCAAGCGATTTAATTGCTTTTGGTGGAACATACATATATTTTCAAAGAAAATAGTAAGTGTATATTTTAAGGTGAAACTTTCCGCTCATTATAGACTTTAGCCATTGTGAGCACATTGTTTGTGAGCCTATCAAAATGTATAATAGTGCGTCGAGGTCTTCTGTAGATATAATGGATTTGTACAACACACTTATCACATTTTAGCCTCAAAAAGGCTGCGCTAACAAGTTTTTTTCATAATATGATAGTATATTCTTTGAAGTTTTTTTTCAACATATCTTCCAATAAATATTTATTTCTATATACATTAAAATAAGATCACCTTTAATAGTGATGAAATTTAGAGCATCTTTAATCATCAAACAAATATTGTTAATTGAATTAGGCAAAGAAAGGATCAGATGTAGAGTGCCGGAAAGATATTTACACCGATTTTGTGAAACTAATGTCTTCTGGAATCCATATAAATTTTGAAAAACTTTCCAAAATTACAAACGAAAAGTTCGATAAAGATTGTGATATTTAACAAAAACGAATGACAATAAATTGTTCAATTTGTTGCACTTGCTTGCTGATTTCTGTGGTCATATTGCGCATTGAATTATGAATTGTAATACTTCAATGAAACTATATCGACTTCAATTTGATTAAGAATGTCATGAAAATGATTACAAGATCAAGTTAAACTATTGAAAACCTTTATACCAACGTTAGAAGACAATTACAATAAAAAAGAATTCATTTTTTCATTTCAATCGATTTATCAATAAGCATAAAATACAAACTAATATTGAGTTAATACTTTTAAAAGATCAGAGTTTGATTTAGAATCAGAACTGATTATAAAAATAAATCAATACGAGAAAATCTACATATTTGTATCATGTTTTTCTGATATTGAGAAAATGATGGATTTATATGTTTTAGTTGATAAGGATTTATTATTCGTGTTTATTGTTCAACTAAATTATAGTAAATAAATCTTTTATAGAAAAAAAATAATCAAGTCGCTTGAACTTTTTTTTAAGAGATGATCACGGCTACTCTTTCAACAAATCTTCAGGACCTCGTGTAATAAGAAGACTGCTTTAGAATTCAAGGTAGACTATGTATACATGTGACAGGCAAAGTCTTATGAATATTATACTTCTTATTCTGTTCAATGAGAAAAGTTTCAGCATGAAAGCTACTATCTGTTCTGATATGCATTGTCGTATGGTACACAAGTGAACGCTTGACATTGTTCAAATAATAATCAAAATTAGTTTTCATTTCATACTTCAATAGATGAAAGACATCTTAAGTGTTAGCTCATCATTGATCTTTGATCTATTTACAGATTTTCTAGAATCGATGTCTAACCCACATTGTATCTAATGGCAAATGATCCACAGCAATTGTTTATTCATTTTTTTTTTGCCATTACAATAAAGAAAAAGACGATCAGTAAAGATAGTTCCATCATACATTCCATATGAACAATTGAGATTTTATGAAGAAAGCCAACTTTGAAAAGTTTGAATGCTAAAAAAAAATGATTTATCCTCAATTGAACTTTCATCGGCACAAAAGTTTTGACTAATGAATAATGACGATGTTTCTCATAATATCAAGTTTAATAAAGTCTATCTTATTTCACTCTAACAAGATGATAATTGCCAGCTCTACATGTCTATGTCTTCAAGAAATGTGTCAAGTCAAAAGGATAGGCATTTTTTCTTACTAAAAAAACGAGTTTTTCGATCATCAAATTTATTATACATGAAAACAAGAATAAAAAATAGAAAAACTGTATTTACAACGCTACATTAAAGAGATAAGAACTAAGAAAAGTATCGCGAGAATGAAGACAAAGTTTGTAACTGATCCAAATCCGTCTTCATAAGTTGGAAAATATTTGATAACTATGCTATCTTTCTCTGATAAAAGTTATTGAGAGCAAGTTTGCTCGTTCTTATTATAATAAGAACGCAATGGTTATTTCAAGAACTATTAGTTTTGTTTTCTTCTGTTGGTCCACATTGTTTTATTTCTTTAATCGAATTCTATTTCATTTTTTCAAAAGCACACACAAAACTGTGTAGGTTTGTCTGAAAAGGTTCAAGAGCGAGCGCTTTCTCATTAGAAGCTAATGCATAATAGATCATCGATCATGATGATTTTGAATACAATCATAAGGCACTTTCTTAGATCTTCATAGCCTAATTTTCTGAAAAATCGGTTTTCCAGACTATCAAATTTTTTTTGATTTGTTCAGATTAAAGAGCATATTAAATTACTTGGAAAACGGTAAATTTTTTTGCAGAAAATACAACCATTTTAATTCATACAACAGATGCATATCAACGTTTTATACTGTGAAAATTTTCAAGATGATATCATTTTATTTAAAACTTATATTTGGAAAAAAGAAAAGATTATTTACTTAGGGACAACTCGGTATGCTCTATAATTTAAGTCAATCACACACAATTTCGGCACAATGTTTGTTAGCCTGAAATGCTAGTTACTAGCTTGCGGTAGAAAAGCGATTGCTCGATTTAAAACGTTTTCTTGTGAATGAGAAAATTAATGATTTGAAATTTAGTAATTATTTGATAGGTAAATGACTCTTTTTTTATATAGAAATATCACATATTTATCTTAGAGAAACCTAATAACTATAAACGACTATAATATTACATTGTTTCTTGGAGATTTGTAAAAACACCTGTGTAGAAAGAAAAATGAATGTTTTTTGAAGCCATTTGAATTAACCGATTAATAATAATTCAACAAAAACTAGTCGAAGAGAACTATTATTCATTTGGAAATAAATGAAGGATGAAGATTTTTGAAATAAGTATTTATAGGAACAAGAGAGAGATCTGCGATTGTCACCGTTTAAAGGAGGAGATAAAACTGCATTGAATCGTATATATTCAATTTTCTTGACAAATTAAAAAAAAAAAATCAAGACTTTTAAATAGTTGTATAAGGCGAATTTTTCATCAAAAATAAAATTAGAAAGAAAGTGAATTTTTTTTATGAAAAATCTGCCAATAATATGTAGTAAAATGTTTATAACTCATGAAAAGCTAATCCTTACAACATCAAACTTACATAATTTACCGATCTTTCGTTAATGATTCTAATGACTGCTAAAAATTAAATTCCTCAAACTTTTACAATACATAATATTTCGTGCTTAATAAACTTGATAACAGATCCTGAGAAAACTTGTCAGAAAAATTTCGTATATACGATTCGATGCAATTTCATCTCATCTTTTAAATAGTGAAAATCACAGATCTCTATCCTGTTTCTATCAAAAGTTATTCTAAAAATACCAACTCGTCTTTTATTTTGAAATTATTGGAAACTATGACAAACGTCTTCTCG